TTACGGAACAGTAAGAAACAAGTATATTTGGCAATTGGCAGTTCTCGGCCACGTGAAAAAAAAAAAATATGGTGGCCGAGAGTTGCCATTTTGAAATAATGTTTGAAAAGCGTTTTATTGTGGCTTAGAAATATTTTATTTTAGATTAATTTTAAATTTTTAATAAAGTCATTTTTGGTCCAACTTTCAAATAAATTTGGGGCATTACGGAACAGTTAGGAACGAGTATATTTGGCCACGTGAGTGCACTGAGTGCGACTGACGGTCGAGATTAAAGATGGCGTCGGAAAGAGAGCGGAAAGATCGTGCATTGGGGTTATCTATGGAAATTAAACTCACAAAAGCTCAAAGAAAAATGGTAAAAAAACAGAATAAAGCCCTTCACACACTTAAGAATAGAGAAAAGGAAGTAGGGGAGATATCTGACGTTCCAACAGCATATTTGTTGGTAAAGAATGGCGGGTTAATGTGCGGAGTGGAAAGACAGGATCTAGTCAATGTCTTTAAGAAATATGGAAAATTAGACGATATAATTATGCTTCCAGGGAAATCATTTAGCTACGTCTTGTTTTGTAATTCTTCAAGTGCTGAGGAAGCAATGGCAAGCCTAAACGGTCAAAAGCTATGCTTTAATCAAAACATTTTTAGGAATTTTTACTTGGCATATTTGAAGAAAAGACCCCATATGGAATTGTGTTTGTCAAATAAGGACTACCCTGCGGGAATGATTCTCATTGAAGAATTTATTAATGAACTCCAAGAGCTTGAACTGCTGCAGCGTTTCTTTAGTTGTGAGGAGGACACAAGCGTAGTAGGTGTAACAGGTATAAATGAGTTTTTACTTTGTTGCCTGCATAGATCAAGACAGATTAGCAGTACCTTTACCTCATTACACTGATTACAGACTCTCTAATACTATATTTTCCATAATTTTAGCTGAACAACAGTTGAAGCATAGATATGTAAAACATTATGGTATGAATTTTTGTATGGTTCAAATAATGTGGACAAAGACAAGCCATTACCTGATGGAATACCAAGTGAATGTTCATTGGTTGTGAAAAAGCTTGTTTCACTTGATTGTGTGAAGCATGAACCAGATCAACTTACAATTAATGAGTATAAACCTGGGCAAGGTACTGATGTGTACCTCTATTATGGTTTGTTTAAGTAAATACAGCTGAAGAATTGGTTTGTAAATTAGATGAATTAGATAATTTACCAAAAAAATTAATTGTAAATTAGATAAAGCGATAGATCTGGTAGATAAAGAGATATATATACTTATCAGGGCATGTTTTTGTTCTACTTACCCATGGCATAATAGCACTGTTTTGTTGAAAAAATTCACATTGAATTGTACATAATATACATATAGGAATTCCTCCTCATGTTGACACTCATTCTGCCTTTGAAGATGGCATCACTTGTCTTAGCCTTGGTGCAAAGGTAAAGTAATTCCAAAACCAGTCAATATCTTAATTGTATAATATAATAATTTGCATAACACTGAGGTCCTCAAAACACTGAGGCCTGCTTCTGCAAAATCCTCAACATTTTTGCCAGCACTCCAAAGCATACATTGAAAAGATGAATATTTGCTTATTCATTATATTATGCCTCCAGGTTGCAATGGATTTTCGTCATCCAGATGGACGCCATGTTTCTATTTTACTACCAAGACGAAGTGTTCTTATAATGACAGGAGAATGTAGATATGAATGGACACATGGGTAAGGCGTTGTGCAAAAGTCAAACCTTAAAAAACAATTGCCTCTCGGTATTACTGTATGGTTCAAATAAGATTATGTTCAGATTGGACCACTATTTTCATGTACCTATTCCATTCGCTCTAACAGTGAATAACATGTTTGTTAGAATAACCCCTCGCAAGTACGATATCGTGAACGAAGATGACCTAATATCTAATAAAAACAGCAGAACTTGGGATTCATTTTCCTCTAGTCAACAATCAACTAATGAAAACTCCAGTACAGGGGATTCGCTTTTCACTACTCACCAATCGTCCAATGAAAAAGACTCCAATACTGGGCATTTACTCTCAAGCACCCAACACCCATCCAATGCAGTGACACTTCTTCCTCGGGAGGTTAGATTATCGCTGACTTTCCGCAAAGTGAGACGCACTCCTTGCGATTGTAAATACCCTTCCAGCTGCGATTCACAGGATTTTGGTCGTCAGTCGAATAAGAATGGTAGAGAGAATGTGCTCCCGCAGTCAGAAGAAGACGCTGTGAATTTAGAAAAAGCACATGTTCACAACGTTTATGAAAATATAGCGGAGCACTTTAGTGGTACTCGTCACAGCCCATGGCCGAAAATTGCCGAGTTCTTGAACAAACAACCACGCGGTTCAATTGTGGCGGATGTGGGGTGTGGAAATGGTAAATATCTTGGTATTAATGATCAGCTGTTGATGTTCGGTTCAGATCGCAGTCAAAATCTCGCGGCAATTTGCAGAGAACGAGGCTATCACGTCGTTGTTTGTGATATTTTATCCCTGCCTTATAGGTAATTAAATTCTGTGATATATTCTTATGATTGGGTATTTAGGCTACGAAGTAAAAGTAAAGAAATTCACGCGTTGCCTGTAGTCAACAGTCTCAACATTCAGCAGTGTTTTAATTGTGAAAAATGTTCGAAGAAAAACGAGTCTATCATGGTCTTGGTTAAAATCATGCTTGAACTAATAAATCTAATAATTAACTAATTAAATACTTAACTAAGTCTAAGAACTAATTAATGTGTTCTAAAATAATGTACAATAGCGCTGCTGTTGTGCAGGAAGTTTTTTCACTTTAAAATATTCCCGTCAAAGCTCGATCGACATATTCTATTCTCGTCTAACTACATGCATTGTGTCTCTTTAAATTGAGAGATTTGCACTATTCCTTTCAGATCCGATACTTTTGATGTATGTATATGCATCGCTGTCATTCATCATCTTTCCACCATAACCCGTCGCCTGGCTGCCATTAAAGAACTTGCACGAATCATTAGGCCTGGTGGTCGTATATTGATTTCTGTTTGGGCCTTAGAACAGAGCCTTGGGAAAAGAGGAAATCGGGGGGAACGCCCTCATTCGGGAACGTCCACCTCGATTGACGAAAAAGCATACACCCCAGCTGGAGATGATGGACAAGGATTGGAACAGCCTCGAAGTTCTGAAGTCGCATCCGAAGGGATCAACCCCAGTGTGCAAACTACTGGCGGGACATATTCTGTTATAAGTAATAGCCCTTCAAATAAACCGTCAGATATGTTAGATAATTATCAACGTACAGTTTATAAAGATAGACATCGTGTAAACTTTGATAGCGAAGATGCATTCAGTATATCAAAATCTATCTGCACGTCAAGACACGAAATTGACAAGTCTTGTCCAAACGACGCGTCAGAAATACCTTATCCTTCATCGGTAATATCAATTAGAAACTCTAACTGCCCAAGCACTGCAGTTGAAACATCATCTTGTGGCGACGGGGAAACCCGAAGAAGAGAACAAGAATGTGTATCAAATAACCCAACATCTGAAGAAAATTTACTAAAACTGAAAGTAAACGCATCAAGAAACATGTTCGAACAGCAAGATCTATTAATCCCATGGCATTATCATGGGAATAAGAATTCTTCGAAAAATAGCAAAGAATCGTCTTGCACATCAGATAGGGCTGCGGATGAGAAGGGTGATCGAAAAGCGAATTCTGCAGTTGAGAGAAAAGTATTTCAGAGATTTTACCACGTTTTTAAAGAACACGAGTTGACAGATGAGTGCAGTAAAATTGGAAATGTCTCTATCGTTCGCAGCTATTATGACAAGGGGAATTGGTGTGTTGAACTAGAAAAAGTCAGGGATTATTGATTTTTCTATCAGAATCTTGAATTTTGATCCAGAATTTTTCTTACCCTGGAACTGCCACCGCCTATGTTATAGCGGGATTCTATTTTTCTATTTATAATAAATTATGTTTAAATAAAGTGTATTAATTACTATATTAGGTAGCTGGATGAGGACGTAACATGAACATCTCTCAACCTTGTTTTCGTAACTATTGTGTTGATTTCGGCCTGTTTCAGACGTCGAACTTTTCATGCGCCGAACCTAATGCAAATGAACTAAGGTCTTTGTTTATAAGTTCATTTGCTTCGATTGGGCACATGAAAAGTTCGAAGTCTGAAACGGGCCTAAGCTTCAAACAAATTAAGATGCCAACAGTAGCACAAGTATTAACGTCAAGAAAGGTGATACAGCGGATTGCAACGAGTCTCGCTGGCGGAGGGGCCTCACGTTGGCCTTTCTTGCGTTGGAGAAATACGCCATAGACATATCGCAAGTTTATTATTTATCTTCCTAAACAGGTGTAAGCAATTATATATGTAAGCATTTCAAGATCTGAATTCACCTTTAAATTTATATAGTCTCACTTTGGTGATTCTTGTCTCCACTCTCCATTGATGGTTTGTGGGATGGATATGGTTTGGGCAATAAATTTAGTCCATAATCATATCACATCACTTTGACACATGATACTGACTTTCAGGTATTGAAATGAGTATATATAGCTACCGCCAGGCAGTGATGTTGTTCATTCCAACAATAGCATGTGCGTGTTTTGTTTTATAGAAACCCCACATGTATTCTACAAACAGCTCCTTAACGCTACTGAGTACTGTAAACTCAAACAGATAAAGCCAAAAGATCATTGCTTAGGGATTCTTTTACTCGGACTCGCAAAAACAATAGAGGATTTTAAAGAACGTTCACGACAAAAATCGATTAAAAGCCTGATGAAAACAAAAATTTGTTGGACGCTGGGAGGGCCAACAAGCAAATGCAATAACCCAAGAGTATCCATAGAGTCTAGACATAAAATTTCGAATGATAGTCATAAACTTTGGTTAATCCAAAACTTTCCAACATATTTATGAAGTTAATTAATAACTCATTATAGCTGAATCAACGAAAGAATTACTTCACAAGATCGAAACGCGCATTCACGCAACGATATAGGTTTTAACTGAGAATGAGAAAAAAATTGGAAACTGCATAGCAGAGCACTGAATGAACAATGTACATACACTGTGTTTTGTAACTTATACTAATAAGTTGTACAAAATATAACTACCGAGTCTGACGTCTGCTCCATGTTTTCCTTCTTTTACTTTTACTAGCATTAGTTCCACTTAGTGTTTGACTTTGACTCGGCTTCACAAATGTTGGGTTGACGATCGACAAAAATCCAGGCCACATAAAAAGTCCTTTAAATCTATTTAAAAGTATTTGATATGGCACTGAATTACGAACTTGCACGTGCGGTGTTTGTTTCGTGTCTGACACGAGCAACAAATGGTCCGATAAATGATTTTTGTCCGACGATGCCGATGCATTTTGATCCGATGTCTGCTGGTTTTGATCATGTTGAGTGACTTCTAGACGATTAGTCTGCGATTGCAGATCTTTTCTCAATGTCAGTAGTGTCTTAAAAGCATTTAAAGTGGCAGCAGTAGGGGGTAGAGGTGGAATGGCCGGTACTCGAGGTGATTGTGTATCAGTATCCATGATAATTCTTCTAACCTGAAGATATGGGCTATTCATACCCACGCTAGAAACACTACTTGGACTTACGACCACATTTTTAGTAATTGTGTTTAAAGATGAAGTAGATTCTGAAGTAGCGGACGTAGTTTGTTTGATGGCAGAAGTAGGTTCTCTAGCAGCAGGAGTAGTTTCTACAATAGCAGAAATAGGTTTTGCAGTAGCTGAAGTAGTTTTGGCGACATTAGGAATGGGTTCTGCACGATTTTCGGTTGTAACATCCGGCGTTGAACTGGAATCCATTTTTCGCTGGCTCCGTTTAGATTGTCTTGGTGAAGTTTCACCATCAACGTCCTCTGGGCGTCCTTGTTCGTTCTTTTCAACTGTAGATTCAGGCGTCGTCCCACTACTCCTTTCATTCGATTATTTTTGTTCTTTCGCGATTGACCAGGGGACTCCGAATACTCTCTCTTGCATGCTCTTCTAGGTCTTGTAGAAATCAATCCATGCTGTGAATCAGAGAGAACGTCACTAACCCCCGACAAACCATCTACTTGTTCAGCTAATTCAAAATTTAACCTTTTCTGTTTTTCTGCATCGGAAGGATTATCTCGTGTTCTTTTACGTCTTCTCCTAGAGGCATTTTCGTCAAAAGAATCATCGCCTTTTTTAGTACCTTTACAAGAAGGAGTGTTTGCGACAGATGATTTTGAACTGCCTGAAGTATTTGCCCCATCATTGTTTTCCTCATCACTACGAACTGCTTCTTGTTTATTTCTACCGTTCGCGTTTCCTTGACCTTGTTTTGTTATAGAGGTAGCACGTTGCGCTGTTGACGAAGGTGTCGTTGCGCTGACAACAGGACTGGGCGTAACTGTTCTAAGAGTAACTGTGTTGTTGTTTGTTTCTACTTCAGTATTAGTTTTGAGCATTTGTTTATCGGCATTGTCGTTATCAGTTATCGTTGTTGTTAGAATAGGTTGGCCAAGAGATGTCACACTAGGAGACTCCGAGTTCGTTTGAGAGGATTTTTCTCCTTTGTTTGCGTTAACATTCTTGAGCGCTCCAGATACATCAACACTAAATGCCTTGAACAAAAAAATTTGATGTTATAATCACAATGAAAATTAAATACCTTTACTAAGATTCTACATTTACGGGGATTTATTTATTCATTTACAAAATTTATACACGGTACCATTTCAACCAGTAAGATAAACACCTACAAACATACATTCAATATGGTAAAATTAAAAAAATTAAAAAACACATGCAAAGTAAAAATGGTTGATTTTCAGATGGCCGTGCATGTGTTAACAAAGTTAATACATGCAATAAAAAAATAACTATAAAGATATTAGTTATTTGTATACAAAATGTGAATAATATATTAAAACGAATGTTGAACTTTAATATAAGAATACGGTGGTTTTCAAACTAACAATGGAGAGTTTCGATCGAGGTAACGCATTTACGGCGAACTTTAAGTGTTTGCAAAAAGCATTTGATTTGAGGGTTTTAAGTCATGTGCATACGGGCCAAGCTTGATATAGATATACATGTATACTATAAGTTGGGACTTACCTGTAGGAGTACTGAAAATTGTGTCAAATGTGATATTGGTATTGCATTTGGCAAGGAAGACGCCTGTAATACGACTGATGGATTTGGGGCGGTTAGTTTACATTTGTTTGTCATCTTGCTGGGAGGTTCTGTCCGAGGTTTACTAGGAGATTGTGAAAATTCTTTCCTTGCCCTTGATTTTAAAGGCATAGACGTAGTAGGAGGTCTCTTTCTGGTCGTTCTGCCAGGTTCCTTGCTTTCTGGTTCATCTGAACTTATAACATCGGGGGTTTTGGAAGTACCTGCACTTTTTACCTGCAAAAAGCGTAAAAAGCGACCCTTTTTTACAATTGACAATGAATGAATTCACATCTAAGGATACGCACATAATACACAAATTGTCGATAAAGTTTAAAAAATTCTAAAAATTCCGACATTATTTTATCCAAATCTCTTCAAAATTTTCCCCTTTTTTGACAGATACAATACGCATCGTATTTTGGGGGCTTGTTTGCCGAGTGAAGAACGTTTCAGTATGCAAGAACAATTATAATATATAAGTACCCGTGCATGCATGTATACACATCGAGGTTCCTCACTGAGGCAAAAAAATTTTTAATTACCTACATGTTTTTATACCATAAAAATATAGGCCCTTGGTCTCAATAGGCCTCAATGCTTTTTAGGAATATTTAAACTTCAAACCTGAATATTTGTGTAGGCACCACCAGATACTTTCTTGCGTTTCTTTCCCCTATTCTTCATTGGCGACGTAGGAGTGGAGTTCTCTTTCGCTTCTTTCTCCTTTCTTTTTATTTTTGTGGTGTCGTCTTGAGAAGCAATGCTAGCGCAGTGGTCAGATGTTGCATCAAGATTAGTTACATCATCAAATGCTGCGTCTGTGTTCGCTTCATCAGTAGTTACATCCTCTGCTTTGCTCGGAAGTTGAGAAAGAGATTCGATTTCCTCCTAAACAAAATCATATCCCAAATCTCAGTATAGGCGTTATCAGTGACCACGTGTATTTCTCGTTCCTCTAATGCTCGTCGCTGTTTGTTAACGTCATCATGCAAGTCTGGCTTTTAAAGATGAAATAAAGTCTGTTTGTTCTGCGCATCTGTTCCGCTCAAAATAACGAGAAATGTCATAGAGATAAGCAGCAGTGCCGTAAATCATTTAATGTTTTCGAGTATGCATGTCAAACCAACCCTCTACAATCTTCAGAAGTTACTTACGGTTTCGGACAAGTCAAACATATCAAAATCCTACAATAAAAAAGAGGTATAAAAAATTATAAACTCAAAAAACACACGCGAGTTAAGCATGCGATGCATGCATGAAATGTTAGCAACCTTAAAATGGGAAGCATATATTGGGATGCTATACATATGATCGATTATCGATTATACTCACTTCTGGTCCAATTTCCGGTTTATCAGAACGACGTCGAGAGAAATTATTTACAAGTTTAGCTCGTATGATTTTCTGTTTAATGAAGTGCTCTTTTGTCTACAGTAAAAAATAAATGCATGTAAATATGAGCAAAAAATAAGCATATAATATAGGTAACGGATATGCATTAGATACTAACATCACTCCATGCCGCCACAAGGCACGATTCTATAGTAGCAGGGAATTCTGGTATTGGCTAGCTATCATCGATAAATGTTTGATATTAAAATACTGCAACTAAAATTTCCTGCTGGCAGGTCCATTAAATTTGTAGTCAACTTGCTGTCGACGCATTAATTATTGACTCGAACGTCGGTGTACCGTTGAGCTTCATTCAACGTAATCATCGGCGATTAATTATGAATGACACAAACCTTAATACAGTTTAGTCGTATGACAAAAAAGGTGAATTTCCACACTCTGGACATGCGAAATGTCGCTATCAAGTATGAACAACACAAATCTCAACCCGCCTATGATATTTTCCATGTACGGTATACCAGCAGTGCAAGTAACAAATGCTGTAGGTATTGTTGGAAATCTTCTCTTAATCTTTGCACACATAAAGGATCCATTAAGACTACTAAAGTTCCCATCTTCATTATTTATCTCTAATATTGCGGTCGTTGACCTGCTGCTGTCGTGTGCTCTATTTCTTTTATATACACCAACCGTTAGAGTTGTTCTTAACATAGCGAATACTCTCGTGGCTACGCTCCATTTTCTGGCGTTTATCCTGTATTTAAGCCTGGCGATTGAACGATATTGTTTGGTGGCTTTTCCATTTTGGCATCGAATCAACATTACTTTACCGGTATGCCGTTACTGGATGGCAAGTACATGGCTAGTCAGCGTTATTCCGAGTGTTGGATTGGTTATAAAGGGGATAATGACAGAGCTCGTCATTCCCGTGGAAATAGCCTTTCTGGCAGTCATATGGCTGTTGTTTATCCTAATACAAGGTACCTACATGGCCTCCTATATATCACTTAGGAAACAAAACAACGAACTTCAAAGACGAGAAGATATGAACGAGGTAACGGAAAGGAGATTAAAGCTTCGTCTCAAGAGTGAAAACGATTTTCTTTTTACAATCGCAATTGCTTGCTTTGTTCTCGCGGTGACCATTCTGCCATTTTACACCATAGCTAGTATCTATTTTCTGAAGGCCGCAGCAAAGTCAGAGAAAACTTACACAATGGATCTTCCTTCAAGTTTTTTTTGGAGTATGGTGGGAATCAGCGCTAATTCTGCAATCAATGTTTTCGTATACCTGTGGCGGCTTCCACAGTACCGAAAAACATTTAAAAATCTTTATTGTCAATGCAGGAAGAGCTAAGGTGAATTTCTCTGTGTGGAAGGCTAAAACAGTGCATGAGATGAGCAAATAAACGTAGGTAAACATTTAACATACGTTTAGAAAATAAATGCTAACCCGGAAATTGCATGTGTCATTGCATGATCAAATTTCGACGAATTAATAAGTTTTTCGTTTTTTAATTCATCTCTCAAATGAATACGCGTCAAAATTCTATTTGCTTGCGGAGATGAGATGAGATGAGATGACATAAATGTCTCTCTGAAATTTTACGGATTTGTGGAAGATTTTACAAAATGAAGTTGATGGAGATTGTAGGTTTTTTAGCATAAGCTTACATGATCAACTGCGATGAATTTTCATTCCAACTTGGTTTTATACAAACGCTGTTTGTCCTATTTTTTCCCCATTGTTGTCAATAGCACGAAAAACTACAAATACCCCCTAATGTGATATGCTAATGAGAAGGAGATGGAGGTGGATTGGCCATATCTTAAGAAAAGAGGCTGATGACATAACAAAGACAGCTCTTCATTGGACTCCAGAAGGGAGAAGAAAACGTGGTCGGCCCAAGAACACCTGACGTAGAACAGTCGAGAGTGAAATGACTAACCCTCCACCAGACCTGTGATCAATTTGGACCAGAATGGCCCAAAACAGACGGGAGTGGAGAGCTTTTGTTGCTGCTCTACACGCCAGGAGGCATAAGTAAGTACACCCTACTGTACCTTCGGATCTTCTTTCATCAGAGAAAACCACCGCCTTCGACATTTATTGTCAGTCCTTCCTGGCATATGTTTTGCAATTGTTGACCAATTCCGAAGTCCTACAAAATTAAGAAGCATGAAGACAATTAAGATTTGAAAGCGTTGACATTTATCAAGCGTTGGACTACTTTACTCGCCCTGTAAGATACTGTCAGTGTCCACTTTCAACAGTGTTGGGTGACTTTCTAGACTTTAAGGGGCTGTTTACATGAGCCCGGTTATCCGAGATTCAACGACGCGTGAGAGGAGTTTGAGGTATTGAAATAAGCCTTTATGACACCAAACAAGCACATGCTATTGTTGTGGTGATTATACGACTGTCAGGATCATGTTATTTGCTTATTTCAATACCTCAAAATCATCTCACGCTTCGTTGAATCTCGGGTAACCGGGCTCATGTAAACAGGCCCTAAAAATCCAATCGGTTTTGTAAGAGAGTTTTCAGTGTGTCCCGTATTTCGTAAGAATTAGTGGTAAGGATCTTGGTTGGATGAGGTTTTCATAGGATTCTTGGGGATTTAGCTGAATTCTTGTGGCTTTCACGGGACTGTTGGGGTCAGGAAATAGATGATCAGGCCGTATCAGTCTCGAAGTGTACAATGGAAGATTACTCACCGACGCTCTGTTCTCCAACAACTTTAATTAATCTCTCGTCTTCTTCTTTACTGAACGCGCCTTTACGGAGATTGGGATCAAGAACATCCTGCCATCTGAAAAGGCATATAGGAAAATAAGTATTGAAAAGGCATTGGATGAATGCGGAAACAAATGGAAATTTACAAGTGACGAAAAATGAGATTGAGAAATAAAAGACGGACCTTTCCCGGACTTGAGAATCTGTCCTTCTTGGTAGCAAACTTTTAAACTTGAACCAGTTAAAACCATATAGCTCCACTCCTTTACGTAGCAACTGAAGAAAATGGAGAAATATCATTGTTAAAAAAACACGTTTGTGTTTCGTAATGATTCGGACCCCACCGGTACTGGTAAATATTGTACCGACGCAACTCCTGACTAGTTAATCAACTTAAAACAAACTGCAAGACATTAGTCTACACGCGGGAGGACTTACGAATCAACAAGGAATGCCTTGGCTGCAATATTCAAATGTGTTGAAACAGATGCCCAATTCCCCGACCCTCATTTAGCATTGAATCGTACTTAACATGTCGTCTAGATCAGTATTGCGTGTATACGGTGTGAGGGAAAACTGTATGTTACATGCTCGATCGCATCGCCCTAATCGTAATATTTCGTTTAGGAAACAATAAAAAGAAGAGAGAGAGAAAGGGGGGGGGGAAAGATGGGGTTGAAGGCAAACGCGGCTATTGTTCGTCCACTGTTAACAGAACCTGGGTTTCGCTAAAACAGCTCTTCCCGCAGGGTAGCCTGCGGAAAACCATGAAATATGGAGGTTCTTGGAAGAGTAGTTTCTAAAGCATTCCAAGCCAACACCTCACAAGACGTAGCAAATCAGTTTATTCCAAATATCATGTGTTTGCATGCGAACAGGATTTGATCTCCCACTTACGTCATCCTCCTCTTTTTCCCACTTTCCCTTCTTGATCTCAGGATCAAGAGATTTAATATAGCGATGCATGCATTGAGGACCAGTACGACCATCAAGAAAACTGGACACTAGAAGAAAAAATACGATCTACTGTTGCTTACAAATATTGCAAATAATTACGGATATAGGCTAGTATAATTACCAATGTTTCTATTTTTAAGCCGATGAGCTGATGATATGGGTACATCATACTTTAGTTCTTTAACTAATTAGATTGTTCTAAAGCTACTCTTGTGGCTTGTGCATCTTGTTGTACCACCCTCGAAACCCTTAAATGTAAATCATATATTGCATGGCACATTACCTTTCTCCCAAGGACCAACTCCACACGCGTTAACAGCTTCGACCAATTTCTTATCGTCTTCTGGCTCCCACTTGCTATAAAACCGCAAAAATTAAATGCGATCAAAAGCAGGCATTAATTAATCAAACTTCAGCACGCCATTGGACCGGGCGGAAAATACTTTATCGCCAGGGCCGTAGCTAGAAGCTTAATTGGGGGGGGGGGGTGTATATTCATATACTCATCTTATGCCCCATTGATTTCTTTTGTACGGTATTGTTCCTACGGTATATAAACATGAATATATGAATATACACTCCCCCACTAAGCGGGTCTAGCTACGGCCCTGTTTATCGCGATGAGAGTATTCCATGGAGTCAAGCTGTCGAATGACGCCTTTTCTATACTTTAAAGAGAAAGTGAGCGAACTCCAAAGCAAACTCTTGACTTGCAACCAAGGTTATGGAGAAACGATAGACAGTAACAGCGAGAAATTTCGCTTTAGACTAATCAGCAAATTAAGTGGTTGAATTATTCTACCATAAATTTACCTTTTTAAGAAGTTCTTATTCAAGCTTCTTTGATATCTATGCAGGCATTGTGCTGCAGATCTGTTACTCTTAAAATCAATATAAAAAACTACAATAGAATCATTCATGATGCTCGCTGTTGTACTATTAGGGAGATTATTTCTGCAAGGCAAGAAACGAAATGAACGTCTTTTTCCGGGGAAAACGTTCCGATAAAACGAGGCGCTAGTCATCGGAAGATGAATGGGAAACATATATACCTTGAGTTCAGTAGCGATTTTGTGCCAGTTCCCACCGCAGCTGTTTTCCTCAGCTAATCGCAATAACAACTTATCCTCTTCTTTCTCCCACTTGCCTTTGTTTAAGAGAGGGTGAAGCTCGTTATACCAAAACACTTGGCATTGATGCGGTGTTCGGAAAGGCAGCTGAAAATAGTAGGATTGTTCAATGAAACCGGATGTATATGTCATATAATATAACAAATGTCAATGTATATGTCACACAATATATCAAATGTCAATGTATATGTCATATAATATATCAAATGTCAATGTATATGTCATATAATATATCAAATGTCAATGTATATGTCACACAATATATCAAATGTCAATGCATATGTCATATAATATATCAAATGTCAATGTATATGTCACACAATATATCAAATGTCAATGTATATGTCATATAAATATCAAATGTCAATGTATATGTCACACAATATATCAAATGTCAATGTATATGTCATATATATATCAAATGTCAATGTATATGTCACACAATATATCAAATGTCAATGTATATGTCATATAAATATCAAATGTCAATGTATATGTCACACAATATATCAAATGTCAATGTATATGTCATATAATATATCAAATGTCAATGTATATGTCACACAATATATCAAATGTCAATGTATATGTCATATAATATATCAATGTCAATGTATATGTCACACAATATATCAAATGTCAATGTATATGTCATATAATATATCAAATGTCAATGTATATGTCACACAATATATCAAATGTCAATGTATATGTCATATAGTATATCAAATGTCAATGTATATGTCATATAGTATATCAAATGTCAATGTATATGTCACACAATATATCAAATGTCAATGTAATGTCATATAATAAATCAAATGTCAATGTATATGTCATATAATATATCAAATGTCAATGTAATGTCATATAATAAATCAAATGTCAATGTATATGGACATCATATAATATATCAAATGTCAATGTATATGTCATATATGGTGTCTACAGTATACAGAAATTGAGCTGCGTTGTCACAAGATAAACATACCACTTTATTTGAGATATCGCAGAAGTCAATAGTGTCAGTGAAATCTTGTACCAAGTCAACAATAGAAAGAGCTCTAGATCCCGACAAAAGAAAGACGTTCGAGGTTTTGTATGACAGCTTTGAAAGAAATGTACAAATACGTACTTCAGGCGCTCTATTTCATTTCTTAGATCTTCAATCTCTTTTTGATCTTCTTTCGTTTTTAATAATTTCGGAGTGATGACTTCAAGCCTATTTAAAACATCAGAAGTCTTAGTGAGTTCAAATAATTGCGGCATTTTCCGAAAGAATCCATCAACATTGGACCTAACAGCCAATCAACGGACAATGACCAATGGTCGGAAATGCTTGTCGACCGGTCATAAATTTATACCCTGCCAGTTATTTTGACCGACGAAATTAATGAATGATAATTATCTCGGCCCACCAATCGACAGCTAAATTTATTAATAGAGAATCTGTTTCGCTCAAAACATATACACGATTTGGTCACGTTAGTTTGTGACCCTGTATCAGTAATCGGTCACGCGGGTCGAACCCTGGGTTTGTTTACACCAGTGTTAACCCGGGTTCGATCCAGGGCGAACCCACCTTCAAAGCAGGGTTGAAACTAACCTGGGTTAAGTATGCCTACACTTTACCCGGGTTAATTTGCGGGGCTTTACAGAGTGGAATTAATATAATTCCGAAAAATGAAAGCATAATACAAATTTTCTTCTGTATATTTCGAATCAAGATCGGTTCATCTTCAGCAGAATGGTTTACGTTTAAAAGATTGGCGTAACTTTAAAGCGTGTACAAATCTTACGCAAAGTTACGCAAATCTTGTAAACGTAAACCATTCTGCTGAAAATGAATCGATCTTGATTCGAAATACACAGAATAAAATTTGTATTATGCTTTCATTTTTCGGAATTACTTTAATTCTATATGTGCTAAAACTATCAGCTAGTAAAGGATTTTACAGAGAGGGTTGAGTAACTATAAATCGGGGGACGGCACTATAATTTTCTTACTTTATCATCATCTTCAGTTCCTAAATTTATTGTTAAATACAGATAAAAACTTGCAATATCTAAATCACTTTACAATATTTTCATGCAGCACATCATGTAGTTGAATATATCTTAATGCTGGACTCTAATCCTCAACCCTGTGACGTAATTTCGGGATAATTTTAACGGTAACCGTACCTCCTTAACAAAGGCATTTGTTTGGTCTGTAATATCTCTGACTTCACAGCATCCGACAGCAAAATTTTATCCTCCTGTGACCCTGGAAACATGAACGAAACCATCATTTGATAAGTCGGTCTTTAGAGCAAGGGAAAGGTTAGTAACAATTTAGCAATTACATAGTCTTGGTGGTGTTTGAAATGTATGCGGCTGACCAACACTCTTTCGAAGTTTGGTATCTTCATTGTCCTCAGGACACTACACAAAATAACACATATTCATTTTACCATTCTTGCAATTTAATTTCCGTGTTTGTTCAGGCTGGTTTCCAGCCAGGAAAACTATCCTCCGAACCGTATTGGACAGACAAGTTTCTTTCATCCTTGTGTTCTCAGCAAAAACTAATTGTCTTAAGGAAAGAAACCATACTGTACGATCCGGCCCGGAGGATGATTTTCCTGACTGGAAACAAGCCCTTACACCTTCAGAAGATCCAGATTGATATCAGGTAATGCAAAGCGAATGCCAAAAAGCAAACCACCTCTAGTTGCATAAGTGGAAGATGTGTACATGCAGCAGCCTCATCCTCATGGTATTCGCTCTGCACCCAATATTTCGCAACAGTGGAGCAAATTTCTTGGAAACAAGGTTAAAGATGTCGTGAAAAAAATTATCAAGCACTTGCAACTGACGTCATAGTTCCTATTTATAGCCTTCCTACAGTGTTGAGTGACGAATTAAAATACAGTTATGCAACGACTTAATTCACTTAAAATTTGTGATACATCATATGGCAAGAGCTTAACAAAAAATTAGATATTTTTTGTGTTCAAACAAAAAAGATATTTTTATGTCCATTCCGAAACCTCAGTACAAGTTGGCGATAGGACCACCCAGCTAATGCATGCCATGTATGCATGAACAGTTCTTGTTTCAGTTGTTTGTTTCCGCAAGACCGGTGACTTCGTTAGCCGGGTGACTATATAACAGCATGGTGGTATATAAAGGTGCATATAAACAGGCCTTCGCCCATTTGATATATACTGTTCAACAACAATAATCACCTCTTTGCGTGTTCTAAAATATGGCTTTGCATATGAGGAAAGACTCCTATGGCTATGTTCGGTTTCTTCTGCTTTTGCTGATGAGGAAGAAGACATCCGATCCAATCCAACCTAAAATGCCAGATCTAAAATGAGCTGATTGCAATATAGAGTAAATCTACGAAACGGTTTTATCAGATGGAACCAGAATATTTCAGAGAGCCGGAGTGTCATCTTGTGTAATAAAATACTGTAAAGATCCGGATAATTTAGTGAAAATAAAATGATATTCTTACATTCCAATATAACCAGGGAGCAGCGTAGTAAACAGCTTAGCATCAAAAATGATACTAACTCTCCTGATGAAGGCCCTCGGGTCGAAACGTTGAGAAGTGTTTTTGTCTATTTTAGGCAGTTGTTATACCACATTTGATGCTAGATATTCTTACATGTAAAACACAATTTTTCATAATAAATTTCGTTGCCCAGGGCCCCAGTCTAATTTTACACTCCAAATATTTCCAAATATTTGGCTACAATTTTTTATGTCTTATACACTATGATTTGTCACTGTAGCATAAAGAGCATGGTCTTGAGGATAAACAGAAAATCAAACAGAGAATTTTTTTCTTTTTTTAAAACATTCTCTGAGAAAATTTTTGTTTACAAAACACCTTGGCTTAGGACAAAATTTAACTATAAAACATGTCAGCTGCAAATTTTATAAGAATTTCCATTATCTTTAAATATCTAATTTCAAGTGTAGCAGTTACCATAGATCATTTCACTTACTTGTTTCTCTCTGTTTTCTGCAAGTAATTTCTCAATTTTCCTGAGTTGTGCTTCAATAATTGTCTGAAATTAGAGAACAATGATCAAACTTGTCGATTTATCCACCACAAACTGTACTTATTGCAACAAACTATTAAATATCGTAATTTGCAACTCATACATATGTCATGACCTTAAAATGCACATGGCTGCCCTGGTCTCAAAATCACAAATGCATTGCATAGCCTTAATGTTCTGACCAAGATAATTAAAGTTTGCAGAGCAATTGGCAGGTTGACAGATAATTGAATAAGGTAAAACAATTATTGGCAAAATTTATGCTACATTGACTTCTTCTCTAGATGCCCACAATGACTTCATGTCTTATTCAGGTTAATGCAAAACATTCCCCAAAAAAGGGGGCTAACCTCTCGTAACAGTATTGTGTGACATACCTGATACTTTCTATTCAGGTTCAAACATCGTTGTTGTTCATTTAACACTTCACAGTCTTCCTCATCACTTAAAACATGTATTTCTTTTGCACCATCACCAACATTATCAAGATTTTCTGCTTCTTTTGAACTGACTAAAGAAGACTGACTATTTCCATAATCATGATGAAGAAATGCCAAACGGCTCTGAAAAATCCCTGAAGATTGACAGCCATCCTTAGCCGGCTGAAGTTCAGTCAAATGATAGTCACCACTATTTTGTTCCTCAAGAAACGGATTAGATTGTTCAGGATTTGGCGATATTTGTATGCTTGGAATATTATGAGCTCTGCTAGCATGGACATTTTCCGAGATGGAATGTGAGTTCTCAGGTACAGAACTAAGGTAATGTTCAGATTCGTCCACTGAATCATTGAGTGGTACTATTGTAGAGACCTCATAACAAGTGTATTCATCTGCAGATAAGTCAGAATCATCTGAAATAGTGATTGCAGTCTTGTAGATCTTTGTTGTACTTTTGAGAGTCTCATCTTCACTTTCAGATGAAATAACTTCAACAGGGAAAAGCTAAGAAAGAAATTTAGCATAAATGACTGGAGTGAATTTTCAGAATTATATAAATTATACACTTATATAGGCAATAAATATTATTTCTGTTTTATCGAAAAAGAAATTCAATTACGCTTCTTAAGAGTCTTAATTTTTACAAAATTTGTTTATCTTCCTTACTTCGCAAGATATTGGGGATCATCGGATATCGAGATATATCTGCCATCTTGTTTTATAATGAGATCTAATTATGTGACGTCAAAAGCAGGGTTGACATTTCATAAAAACCACTACTTGTTAATCACTACATGTTTACCCTTTTAAGTTTAAAACTCTGACAATTTAAATGCTATAATTTGCATGTATGTGCAATTGTAATACCATGAAACTATCACTTCACTGAATTGTTAACTTTAAGTTACAAAATGAATTTTCACCCAGCTTATGACGTTATGCATATCCGGCCAAGAATATGCATATCCAAAATGGCAGATGGAAGATTTTCTCATTTGAAAATATCTTAAGATGTAATAAAGTTAACAAAAATCCTTAAACAAATTTTGTAAATATTCATGACATTCTTTTAAAATAGACGAAGATCATTTTTATTGCCTTATCCTTTAATGATGCATTTAATTACCTGTGATTGATATGTTTCTTCAGAAGTTTCTATGTATTCCTGTGATTTGATAATTTCTATGAAAAAGATAAACAAGCTGTTTTCAAATGTAATCTAGCAACTGCTGAAAACATAAAAGAACACATCTTACATTCTGGACCTAATAGTTTTTATCATGGCATACTAACTTTCCTGGCCCTTAAAAGGAAGTGTCAATTTCTTCTTGTATATCTTAATTAGGCAGCTGCTGAACCAAATTTAATGACAAGTTATTTAAAGCAGCCACCATGCTACATCCTGGTCTATCTTGGAAGGCATGTTAAATGGAATAATGCCAATAGCTTACAACTGGCCACTGAATATTAATATTAAGGATGACTTAATTTTGGCCTTCTGGGTAACATAATAGTAATAGTAAAAGTCATATATGCTTATGAAGCATTTTACCCAAATCCAAAATTTTAGATACATATGATAATAAAATCAATTTCCCCGAAACCAACCGAAAACAACCGAACTCATCACCATAACTAGTAACCTGGCTGATGTATCATGTATCGTATGGTATTTTATTATTTTTATTATATATAGTTCAAAAACATCATGGAGAATTGTGGTGTACTTTCATTGTGTACTATTATTACATCGGACTGGAGTATATTAATAAAGGTTGTGAATGCGCAGAACGAAGTTTAACACACAAAACTTTACTTTTGTACCTAGTTCGTCTTCGTCGGAATCCCCCTGGTTGTCGCGCACCTCATAACTTGCAAACTCGCTATTAGTGCCTGCTCGAGTCGATGCGCCCCCAAGCGTTTGCCGAATTAACTCTATCTCCTTGACTAAACTTTCCCTGTCAATACCATTTATGTCTGCATCTTGTGCTTCTTCCATGAAGAGAAATCACAGCGCAATGACTGTGAATTATAATATCGCTATGAGATAAGCGAAACTATACGTTGTAAAACGTTGTCAAAAAATCTCCCACATGTGCAAGAACCGAAAATCAGAGTTTAAAAATCGACGAATTTTACGCGTATTTTCCGTCGTGGAAAATACGCGATCAAAAATCGCTAAATTTTACTAGCACTTTTGGTCACACGTGTGAGTGACATTGAACTGTATGTAATCGTTTGTTTACAGTTCAATGGTGAGTGGTGAGTGACCATATAGATTATGAGGAGAAATTGGGGAGCGTGCTAATGGGCGGATGTTCACTCATTCACGATGTCCAAGGCCAAAACAATTCCTTTTAAACGAGTTTTTTTCTAAATGGTTTTTCCCTAAAATATCATTTCAGGATATCTAAGATAAAACCAGTTAAAAAAAGTACTGTTTTTCTTCAAAAACCGGCAAAACGACCTAAAAAACGAATATACGATCTTTAATACAAATTTTAGTTGATGCTAACGTGGTATTCCGATCTTAAACGACATCTGTGATGAAGAGTATTTGAACTCCACAACCATCTGTCATGTTCTCTTCAGTAGAATCAAAACCATTTATGAATTTCTTCGCATTTGCAAACGGTCAGCAGGAGTGTAATGGGGGGAAAATAAGGTGGCAGAAAATAATAGCATTAACATGATTTGTGCATATGACGATTTTTTATTTGATGATTACATAACCGTTATATGCCAGGCATCGCTATCACTGTTTCCCATGCTATCTTTAATTTTACATTTTAGAATAAATTGTTTAATGTTATATATACGTTTAAAATCATGTGAAGACTAAGGTGCGTGATGCGTTTACTGATAAGGTATTAGCTTTATACGTTTTTTCTGCTTCATTTTTAAATGCATGCAGGATACAATTTCTCGATTAGTGTAAAATCTAAAAATATGCTTCGAGATGAAATGGCAGCCAATTTCAGCATTTAGTATACAACTTGTTTCTAAGTCTTCTTCCAGAATATCAAGCCTATTACAGTGATATACACTGTCCTAAACTAAGATGCCCGGCTTAAAATGTTGTTTAGGCCTTTTTGTCCCGTTTGATTTTCGTGATCAACTTTGGGTTATCACTACCAACAGATTTGCCAACGTTTCGACGATCTACGATAGAAAAATATGCAGTATTGAGCCAAGGATACAAACTAATGTACAATAAACATTTGCGGAATTAACTCTGGTCAAACCTTGTGATAGGCAGAATAGCATTTTCTTGATGGTTGCCTTCACTTTCTCCCAGAACAACGGTGTGCTGAGGGTATACAGGATAGGATTGATGGCTGAATTGATTGGTATGACGCAAATCGAAAACCACATGTACAACTCGTTGCCTCCGTCGTTGATTGCCCGAACGAGGGATAAGAGTAACAACATTGCGATTGGAACCCAGCAGCAAACGTCGGTAAATACGACGGCTGCAAATCGTTTTGCCATGGTCGTGTGCACACCAAGACGGGTGTTGTTCTTTGATTCTTTCGCTGAGGAATAAGATGAGTAGAACATTTGGCAGTAGGATACGATGAGGTAGATTGCAGCAATGAAATTCAGTGCTCCGAACACCGCGAGGCAATATTCCCATGCTATTGTGTCTTCACCGGGGAGTTGAAGCGGCATACAGATGCTGTTGGTCCCGTAGAAACCCTCTCTGCGTAGGTTGTCGTAAAAGTACGAATCGATCATCGCGGGAAGGACGGCGATAACAGTGCAGCAGGCCCAGGTACTGAACAACAGAAAGACCGCAGTGCGATAACCGATCTTTCTGAATTCCATAGCGTGAACGATGTGCAAGAATCTGTCGTAGGCAATGAAGACCAGGGTGAAGACCGAGACCTCGCTTGATATGACGGATATTATACCAAATATCTTACACAAGATGCCTGAGCGCCAGCTGTAATCATGCTTGTAGTATTCACCTTTTGTCGCAATCTGCTGGTTGATTATTCCTGCTAAGTACACCCCCATGAGCATGTCGCTGAAACTAAGACTGCAAATGAACATATTTTGTACTCTGTTTTGATCGTCCTTCACCAACCGCATGAGGAGGGCAAAAATATTCCCTCCGATCGTTAGAACAACCAAGAACCACATTAGAACTATGAGCGCCGGATATTTTATCATTTCCTCACAACTGGCAAGACTATCAGCTGGAGCAACGCATTCTGCATCCGACAAGATTGCCTCCACAAAACAGCAATCTGTGAATCGATCTGTCGTCCTAAAAATGACCATTATCTAAAATTAACTGGTATGTAACAAGTTTCAAAGTTCAACTCTACTTAGAATGGTTAAATTGGTATAGCCTAGATCATATAGCAGTGCTGGTTATTGCGGCTAACACCTCTGGCCCATCAGCCCATCTCCTAATTTAGACTGACACGTTTAGAGGGAAATGGCCGTTTAAAGCCAGTCTCTAGATTTATGCTCAAATTTTTTTTCCAACTGGTATTGATTTCTGACCCCACATTTTCCTGCCCGAAGATAAACTTGTTGACTCACTGACGAGTGAGGAGTGGTGGGATGTCCTCTCTACCCACTTAAGATTGAACGCCGCCACTGCATTTCAACATTAAAAATGGAGATTGGAGCATTGTTGGGGGATACATTCATTAAGCATGCATAAACAACTAACAGATCTTTATATAATTTATATGCTTACAGATGCTTCAGGTTACTCAAATATTTTAAAAGTTCGACCCAGTTCAGGATAATTAGACCAGGATTGGTTGAAATGTCCCTGTAAAAAATTGTGACCCTCAAGTATATTATTTCAATGTATTGATCATATTTTAGGTGATGTCAACATCTCGGATGCTAGCTTTCTGGATGGTTACCAGCGGAGCTGTCAACACGTCAACCAAATAAATCATGGCTCACAGCCCCACTCTCCCGTGTGCAAGAAATTTGTGGGGGAAAATAGTAGTGTTAATGCTCTAAGCTATATAGGCTTTATATATTAAGTCAAAAGGAACCCAAACAAGTGAAACAACTGAAAATTAACTAAGTCCTCATTACGATGAACTTCGCACTATACTGACTTCTAAATGCTGATTCCATCAACTATCGCTTGAATAATGTATATGCAGACACAAATTTTCTCGCGCAAAGCGACGAACCTTAATCAGACAAGTCCTTCACAAAATTGATATAAAAAAAATAACTTACAGCCGCTGCAGTGATCCTAAATGTTCAAAGAATCTGTTATGAAACTCCTTAAACCTGTTGTTTCTCATCGACCTAGAAGAACGGGTGTATATATGTGTATCGGGCGCATGACACTTGAAACAATCTTTAGTATAAAATTGAAAAAAGGCGGTTAACTTTAACTATATAGTTAGTGAGAGAATTGATCAATCATAAATAACGTAATGTATTTTCTAGTTAACTACGAAACTACTTAAAATTGAGTTTTTAAAAAGAGTATACAATCGGCCCAAGACATGCATAAATGAAACTAGCACTCAATTTTGGCATATGGTTTCGTGCACGAAACTAAAGTTTCCATTGGCATTGGTGGAAATTAAGAGATAAGCAAAACCTGTCATGCTTTCCATTAAAAAGCGCTTCGCAGCCCCGACACACTTACATGTTTTGTATGCTTTTTAGAGGTAGGAAGACGTTGCTGGGCCAACTTGTTAGTTGATTTGAAGAAATGTCCCTTAAAAATGAAATTTTAAAACACCTGCATGAAGTTATATGTATACAGCTGCAACCTCGTATACGACTTTTTACATTGTTTAAATTACTGCAATTCTATTTGATCCATCCATCCACATTCACCATATATAGATTCATCATGTTTCGGATCGTGTTACTCAATCGGGCTTCTTATATAACATTTGCCGTATAATTCAACTATACTGCTGCTTTATTTATATAATTTTAAGTAAAATACTGAAGCATAGTCCTAGACCCAAATCCTTCCACCGACAATTCCAATTTATTTATAGAAGGTCTTCATTATTGTCTCACGCAAAAGATAGATTTTGAATTTCAATGAAGTTAGCTTTTTAATTACATAATTTTTATTCATCTTTTTCCTAAAATTTTCACCTTTGTTCATTGTGTTTCTTTGTTTAGAAGTAACAATTATAGAATGAAATTAGATTTTACACTTACAAACTTTGCAGGTTATTTAAACCTTTGAACCAGTCTTGCTTTTTAAGTTGAGCATCCCTTGTAAACGAATTAAAGCAAAACACGAATTAGGCGTCAGCAAATGGTAATCATGCAGCAAGGGTAATGTAGCTGGTTGAGATACGATAGGGAAGTATAGATTTGGAGAGGCCCAATAATCTTAACTCGCGTGAGGTTGCGAATCGCGATCAGTCGGAAAAAATAATGTAATCTAAAACCCGTGCGTAATTTTTTATCCTTAATTCATGTGTGATTAGAAAATCCAAAATAACTACTCAAGAATTCTTAGCAAAAAAAAGGGACAATTTAAAAACCACGTAGCTATACCAGAATTTCCGATTCCTTCACCCTCATTCACTTCCCCACATGCACGTCGGGAGAAAAAACAAGTTTTATACTTCGGGATAAGATACGAGCATATATATTCATGCTATATACCGGATGCATGCGTTATTGATTAGGAATAGCCTACATTGAATTAAAGATCATATTTTTGTGATCATGCATATATCACTGGCGGAAGGTTGACAGAAATTTGTTTCGGGTGATCAGACGGAATGCAGGCTATATCTTAAGTTGTTAGAATCTGTTGTGCCCTAACTGAATTGCAATTTTTGTGCATGTTTGTATATGGCCATAGGCCTGCAAGTTTTGGTATCATATATATGCATGCACTCATGCAGTCAGATCATTGATGAACATTTAGTAAATTAGGCTAGTATGAATTTCTTCTAGAAATAGCTGATTTATACTTACTTCAGTTCGCCTATGATGAATTTCAAGTTATTGGTATTTAAATCCCTGCGGGTAGAAAAGTAGGTTTAAACTTATAGCGCCGTAATTTTCGTGACTATCACTTTTTCAGGGCTTCGAAAGGCAGCCGGAGCGCGCTTCTACGTCAGAAAAAA